GGACAAGAAGGACCGACTGCGGGTGGAGATGAGGGAGATGATGAGAGAGGAGACATGGAGGAAGAGCAAGGCGAGGGCGAGGAAGAAGACGGGGCGAGCCCGTACCGAGCTTGAGCTGAGCTCAAGGTAAGGAGAGAAGGTAGGAGGCGACCGAAGGCCAAGGTGAGGAGAGGCAACTCTCCTGATTGAGGCTGAGGAAGCTGAATGGAGGAGGAGTAGGTGGCGACCGAAGGCCAAGGTGAGGAGAGGCAACTCTCCTGACTGAGGCTGAGGAAGCTGAAGGGAGGAGGAGTAGGTGGCGACCGAAGGCCAAGGTGAGGAGAGGCAACTCTCCTGACTGAGGCTGAGGAAGCCAAGAGAAGACAGCAGAAGTAGAAAGTAGAAAGAGACCTCAGAAGCAGGGTTCGCATTGTAGGCCGTGTACTCCCAGTGCTCGCGCGCCTCTTTAGACTAGGATCAAATTGCAAAAGCCCACAAGGAGCCGAGCAACATTCTAGCATTCTAATAAACTCACATAATAATGATAATAATAATAGGGTTTAGGGTTTAGGGTTTAGGGTTTAGGGTTTAGGGTTTAGGGTTTAGGGTTTAGGGTTTAGGGTTTAGGGTTTAGTTTTGCTGATATCTTCTTCTTCCTCCATGCTCTCTGTATCTTCGTGGCAGCCATCCTCTTACGAGCTGCCGATGTCGTGTACCTTGTAACATTTGCACGACTATAGTTCTTTTTCGATCGCCAACCAAACGGCATTTTGTATTACATCCAACGGCTGCTTATATACTCGGCAACATCTAAACGTTCACCCCAGTACTTCGCAAGCTAATGCTCACAAAGAATCTTGATGTTAGGAGGGCGCATTTTTCCTTCAGCCAGATAATACTGGAAAGCATAATAGCACACACGCTTGTGCAGCTCACCGGGCGTCCAGCTTTCAGTGTCTCCGCCGATCTTTTCAGCGATATACTCGCCAGGCTTGGATTGTAGCTCGTCTCTGTGTTCATTCGACTTCTCGTACAACTCTTGCAAATCTTCATCACTGAATCCTTGCTTATATATCACCACCGACGTTGGAAGCTCCTTGGCCATGTACTGAAACCCAACTTCATCCGCTTCTAGCTTTCGCCGCTTCACTGGCCTACTCTTCGGATCTTGTTTACGGCGATAATGCTCCATCGCAAGATCGCCAATATAGTTACGCCACTGTTCTTCCGTCTTCGGTGCCTTCAACTCTCCTTGAATGTGACAATGGTCACCTCCCTTCTTCTCAAGCATCACAAGACACTTGTTATCTCCAAACAAATCATTGCAAACTGAAGCATAATCCATGGATGGATCGTATGGCTTCACTATCAGGTGTGCCAACATCTCTTGGGTTAACGCTAGTGGGTCCCCTTAAATAGACTTTCCCCCTGGACACGTGTCCACCCTTGTTGCGTAACGGTTCTGTAACGGCTCGCCACTTCCTCGCCACTTCATCGCCCTCATTCACCGCAGTAAGTCACTACCTACTTAGGGTTTAGGGTTTAGGGTTTAGGGTTTAGGGTTTTAGGGTTTAGGGTTTAGGGTTTAGGGTTTAGGGTTTAGGGTTAGGTTAGGTT